TCACAGTCCTACTTCTTCAGCACCCTGTTAATGAGACTAAGATTGCCATTTTGTTTCAGGGCACCCCCTAATACTGGGTAAAATAATTATCTATTCTGAGGGCATTTCCCTGTTGTATTAGTTAAACCACAATACATTGTGGTAAAAAGCACAACAGAATAAAAGTGCTATGCCTCTTGTTCTTTGATAGCGTTACTCGCTACATCACAACTGTTATTTAACAATAACCAATTTTTAGATTCAATATTCTCTTTACTTATACCTGGGCATGGAGATTTTAAGTAATGGATTGCCTAAAAGACAGATATAAAAATAAGGAAAAGCAAAAAAGGGCTCGGTGAATCCACAAACTAGATTATCATTTTAGCACCTGAGTAATTGAGTCAATAGTAATTTACTATCTCAGCTCCTGGAGGAGAGTTGAGACTCCATAAAGATGTACCAAGAGATTCTCTCAGTCAACTTACCAAGAGGAGGCTCTTTTTCAGGAATGCATTTCATCCTGTTTCCTCCCTTTACCCACCTTGATTTTTCAACTCTTGGGAACTATAATAAGTCAGGAAGTGGGCTTGTATGAAAAGTTTCCTTCTGCTTTATGGTTCCAAGAAATCAGTGTCTGGGCTTCCTTTTGGATTCTAGCAGCAACATCTTATCAAAATCTAAATTTTACTTTCCTCTGATGCCCAACTCAGCTCCTCCTTTCCTGAACAGACTCTGTATGTGCTGTATTATTAATGCTGAAATTGGACAACTCTTTCAGCGCTCAACCATCAGAATATAATTAAGCAGGAGATCTTTATCTGTCTCACACATGGATGGTGTGGAAAATGCAAAGTATTTCTGTTTATTGAGCACTTATTATTTTGCAATCACCTCTGCAATACAACTAGTCCTCCTTCTGATTTCTTTCACTCTCCACTAATACCATCTGTACCTCTCTTGAGACACTTTTGCATTTTACCTGGCTAGAAGTGTGCATTCAGTCACACACAGTGGCACATGCCTGTGATTCCAGCTGCTCAGGAGGCTGAGGCAGGAGGATCACAATTTCAAAGCCATCCTGGGCAAGTTAGTAAGACCCTGTCTCAAGATAAAAATTTATGAAAGGACTGAAGATGTAGCTCAATGATAGAGCACCCCTGTGTTCAATTCCTAGCACTGCTAAAGAAGTATGCATTTATCTCCTATGGATTGTGAGGTTTTTAAAGACTGGAATTTGTTCATTATTGATCTCTGTGCCCACTGTGTGCTCAATATACCTTTGCCAATTGAACACTTGAAAAAATGACAGTAATGTTTTTCCAGTCACAGGCTTGAAGCCCTGGCTTATCTTCAACAACTCCCATTCCTTTCCTTCACATTCAGTGAATTGTCAGGTCCTTTTGATCCTCCCTCTGCAA